AGCACGCACCCGTGCCTTTTCCGCCCGAAACCTTTTCCATTTCGTCCAATTGCCTTACGTCAAACACCTTATTACGGTTTCACCTAATTCCTCCACTCTCGGCCGTCCAACTTCAACTATCTCCTCTCTCTCGTTTTCTGGCAAAGGGGTGAAAAACGAACGGGAGACGGACGCGTAGCCATTAGCTCGGGTGGCGCGTCCGCCCACTTTTCTTCCAACGAACAACAAATTACGTTCTCCAATTCCAACTATTTCCTCTGCCGACGACGCGTTCATCGAATCGAGGGTAGCAGACGGATAGAAGGAGGGAAGAAGGGAGGAAAGTGGTCGCTTGCGGGCCTCGCCGGACGAAAATTATCTCGCCGAACGAGCGGGCAACTGCTTCCAGGAAAAAATGAGACCCGTGTGTGTTGGTCAGCTCGTAATAACGTTGGTCAGCGCATCACCGTCGCTCGCGTCCGGTTTTGTTTAACCGGCGCGGCAGTTTCGTTCTCTCTCTGTCTCTGGACGCGAGAGGCGTCGAGACCGCGTGCAACCCCTTTCGCCGCGCGGGGCACCGGGAAAATCGAGTGGAAATGGGTCCGGTTCGATCGACGAGGTATTATCTGGCCGGGACGACTGCATAGGTATAAAATATGGCCGGTGCCGTTAAGTAACGATCGGGAGAGAGATAGGTGTGGCGCCGATCGGGAAATTGGAGGGTGCGCAGATCCCGGGGGTTAGAGTGGTCAGCCCTAACCTCCTTCCGTCCAGATGCAATCTTCGCGTCGCTGTGCGAACCGCGAAGCCTCCGCAGCGGGGAAACCGAGCGAGCGCCTTTCACTCGCGCGGAACCGTGATCGCGCGACAATAAATCAACCGACACGCATTAAGCATTAACGCATTTACATATCGACGTTCTACCGTGCGCGCTTGCGCACTAAATCATGCCCGATTTGAAAATAATGCGTCCTACGAATACGCTAGGAGCGATTTCGCGCGAATCTCAATCAGCGGCGAACGGGGCGAATCCGTATTCTCGCGGGGGACCCGGAGGATAGCAGGAGGGGGGACCCGGTGGGGGGAGTGCAGTTCCTTCTCTAATCTAATCGTCGCCGGTCCGCGATCCTTGTCCCACGGGCAGCGTCGTCTCGGTCCCCCTTTCGCCGTCTTCCTGGAAACCGGGTCGCCGCCGCGCGGTTGTTTCCACGCGTGTAGGTACACGTGTACGCACGTACACGTACGCGTTCGTGGGTGCTCAGGATCGGCCGTAGGTTCTGTAATAGCCCTGTGGGCGAACGAGTCGCGTCGTTGAAAAAGAAGAAAATTCGACGAGGATCGCGACGCACCGTCCGGTTCTCCGCTCGCTGGCGTGCGCTCCAGCTTCAGCTCTCTCGCGGCCCCGTCCAGCCTGGACTCTGTCTGGGACAGGGAGAGAGAGAGAGGAAAGAGCGAGGTCGCGGGCCAAACGGCAGAGGTCATCGCGAAAACGCGCGCCGATGGAAATCGAACCGGACGATCGGAGGACGAACGAGAGGGACGGAGAAGAATGGCCGAACGCTTTCGCAGCGTGGCGGAGAGGGAGGAAGGGAGGAAGGCGAAACAAGCCGAGAGCGAAGGCTTAACTTACGTCCGTGCCTCGAGAGCGTGAAATATCGCGAACGCGGCGACGAGGCTAAGCGATGTTCCGCGCGGGATCGCGCGATCTAATTTGTTGCGCTTCGAGGTTATTTATGGTGACGCGTCCGCGCGTCCGCGCCTCCTCGACCGCTTCCTACGAATATCCCCGTCGATCGCCGGCCGTACTCCTTCCTGGACCACCGTGCCGCGATTCCAGGCCAAGTGCAACGCGATGCGCGCCATTCCAACCGAAACGAACCGAAACGAAACGAACCGACCAAATCCAAGGAATTTCCTCGAGAGGAGAACTCGGAGTAACGGTGCTCGGGCACGCGATAAGGTACACCGGTTGGCGCCACGCAACGATAGGGCATCCCTTAACATTCCAGCCGATCCGGTCCCGCAAGTCCGAAACTTCTCTTTCGGCCTAGCCCCTTATTTTCCGGGGTGACGCGAAAAATCACACGGAATGCAGAAGGAGAGTCTTTACTCTTAAAGGGGTGGTGGTGGTGGGACAACGACGACGACGACGACGACGACGACGACGACGACGGCGACGATAGCTTTCACCGTCTCCCTTTTACTGCGAGAAGGGACCTCGAGGGCGGCGCCACGTTTGCGTCTTACAAAAAGTCCAGGAGGGGAATAAAGAGGAGGAAAAAAAGGAGCTCGCCGAGAGCGGCTAACATGGAATAGCCCTTAGCAGGCACGATAGCCACTCTTTAGGCTGATGGACTCACGGCCCCTCGCCGACCCCCTCGCCCCTGCCTGCTGCTGCCAGGCTGCCTGCCTGCCTGCTTTCTTGCCTGCTTGCCTGCCTGCCTGCCTGCTTGCCTGCCTGCCCGTCTGCCTGCCGACGGCCTCCCCACGTTCGCCGGCCTTCCATTTCGCCTTCCCTCCTTCCCTTTTGCTCTTTTTACCGCCGATCCTTGCGTCGAGTCCGCGCCTCGTCGCGCGAGTCCGTTTCTCTCAAGGTTTTGGACCCGTTCGCGGACCGTTCCGAAATATTTCGATTGACGTTCGACTATCCTCCACTCGTATATGCACACCAGTATCGACCAATCTTCCAACGAGTCTGTTGTACCTCGCTTTATTCAACCATCAAAAACATAGACATCTACAAATTCGATACTTTTCGACAAAATTAATATTATTATATCGTCCTTACTGTTATCGTTACCGTCCTCGTACGCGCCTTTCTCCACCAAATAAATACTCTCTCTTCTATTTCTTCCTTTCGTTCCCGCGCATCCAACAGCTCGCCTCGCGATTTTCGCTTGGCGCGTTTCGCGACGCCTGAAAGCGCGTACATTATCCTTCGCGGGGCACTCGCCTCGCTACATCCAACCTACGTGTACTCGTTTTCTCTTGCTCGTACACGAACACGCTACACTCGTACATGGATGTGTGCATGTTTCACGCAACAAGGGAAGGCAGCTTTCCTCTATATATTTATGTATCATATATATGTAGGACGTGTCGTGTAATATTTACAACGGAACGCGTTAAATCCAACCCGTCTCGCACTTTCCATCCACGGCAAAATCCTCGCAAACGCCGAGCAAAGAAACAAAGGTGCGCACAAAGTGGCCGACGGAGAGGAAGCGCCGAGGATAAGGAAAGTGACCGATGAACTGTGACAGTCGTTCCAGCTGCGTGTTTCCCCTCTCTTCGTAGAGAGGGCGAACTAGTACGGCAGAGCTCTACCTACGCCCTCCTATCGGTCGATAACGTCGAACACGATCGGTAACGTTCAACTTACAAGCATGTCCGCTACGCGTCACAAACGAATCGCTCTATTCGCAACAATTCCTCGTCGACCACTTCGTTTCGCTCATCTTTCTACTTAAAAGTACAAATAAATAGAAACAAGTTCTAGAAAAGGAGGGGAAGGGATGGCGGGAGGGAGGGAGGGAGTGAGGGAATGAGTGAGTGAGTGAGTGAGTGAGTGAGTGAGAGAGAGAGAGAGAGAGAGAGAGAGAGAGAGAGTAGTAGTAGTAGTAGTAGTAGTAGTAGTAGTAGTAGTAGTAGTAGTAGTAGTAGTAGTAGTAGTAGTAGTAGTAGTAGTAGTAGTAGTAGTAGTAGTAGTAGTAGTAGTAGTAGTAGTAGTAGTAGTAGTAGTAGTAGTAGTAGTAGTAGTAGTAGTAGTAGTAGTAGTAGTAGTAGTAGTAGTAGTAGAGTAGTAGCAGTAGTTGTAATAGTAATAGTAGTAATAGTAGTAGTAGTAATAGTAGTAGTAGTAGTAGTAATAGTAGCAGTAGTAGTAATAGTAGTAGCAGCAGAAGCAGCAGTAGTAGCGTAGCAGTAACAGCAGGAGAATCAGTTTTCTCATTTGGTTGGTTCGTTGACGGGAAGATGATCGAAGCAGCGATGAATCTTCGTGACTAGGTCTGTGGCTGGTCTAGAAACCTTTAGTCGGTAAGATGTTGGTCGGCCTGCGCCACGTTTTCGAGTTTGTACGCACAACTTGAACGGCGCTCGCGTCGCTGCAGCGCGCTCGATAACCCTCCACTCTCCCGTGCTTTCTTACACTTCCTCGGCATTGAAATCTTCCTTTTCACCGCTTCTCTTCACCCCGTTACGTGCTTCTTTCCGCGTGAACAGTCGTGGTGGAAGTGATAACCGAAATGAGATCGTTACCGGCTTGACTAGCGATTGGTTCTAGCGGTGGCACGCTGAAAGAGAAGAAACGATAGAACGGGAATCGATCGATCGATCGATCGATCTTTTACCGAACTTACGAACGTGACTTACGTAAGGGTGGTCTGTCGATTGAGCGCGGCGACGGTGGGTAAAGCGAGAGGCGAGTGCGCATGCCCTAATTGCGCCGTAGGCGGTGTACCTATGGGCTGACGACTCTCGTCGCATCCTTCGTTCCCTCCCGTGATCGCGGCACCGCTCCCAGTCCCGGTGCTTGCCCTCTCCTCGCTCCCAGCCCCAACCACGGCCTCCGTTTCCGCATCGACCGGTGCACCGGCCCCGATCCCGCCCCCGTTTCCGCTACCACCGCTACCACCACTCCCGTACACGTTCAACTGCAGCGAGTCCACTGGAACGAGAAAACAGGAACAACGGTTCCAATCAACCACGTTCCTCCCCCCCCCCCCTTCCTTGTGCTCTTCTCCCTCCGCATCATCCTTGCCGCATCTTCTCTCACCGCGTCGACTCGCCCACGATTACTTATCTCGTTCCCGCATCTAACGACTTTTGTTTGCTCGCGGTGTTCGCGTCGCGTCGGACTTTGGTCCCGATTCGGGACTCGTAATTTCGAATCGTCCAAGGTCGACGACTTGAGATTCCAGCCACTGATACCGCGCGCCGCGTTTCTGTCCTGCCGCCGAGACAGTTTCCAGAGAAAAGGAATCGCGTCGATTGGGAGAAGAGCGTGACAGAAAATGGGGGTGAACCAAACTGAAGACGGAGATTCGTTCAACCCGTAGGTACACCTGTGCGTCGATGAAACATGATAATAGCGAAACGAAGAATGGCGAGGGAGAAACTAAATGACAAACTTGCTCACCGAAGACTCACCGAGTAAGCTAGACTTAATCTCGGTCTTGTGCATGCCGCTGGGCCCCGCCAAGTTTCCGCTCATCCCCGAATGATTTTTCGGCTTTCTCTTCCTCGTCTGTATCCCATCCTTTTTCATGCTGAGCGGCCTGTTCACCTATTCCCGTTTCAATTCAATTGAAATTTCAAAGTTGAAAGAAATAAACGGTTGGAAGCGGGAAAACGAAGGGTGGAGAGGGCGGAGAGGGAGGAGCGTAGTTCACGAGACGTCCGGTTTAATTAAATTCGCCGAAACGCGATAAACCTATCTACCTTTACGATCGCGAACAAATCACCGATAACGTTGTCCGGTCGATAGGATTAACGTCAATTAGGTACGGTGCATCGGATAAGAGGCAGCAACCTCTCCCGCGTTCACGGGACTACGTAAACGGTAAAAGGTAAACCCTCCGAAACGGTAACGCTCTCGGGATGTTTTCGGAAAGATTATCGGAACTCCGAGGTCCTCTTACGACCGCATCGAGATTACGACAATGCGTGCACGCGCGCCAACCAGAGCGAAAAGAGAGAGAGAGAGAGAGAGAGAGAGAGAGAGAGAGAGAGAGAGATTGCGTAAGAAGAGTAATCTCTGACAAACGAGTGCGATCACGAACGGTTCCTCGAGAAAAAGTCGAAGGTGAACACGACTAATCGGTGATCGCGTTCTTTCACCTCGGCACTGTCTCTCCGGCGCGTGTGTGCCCCGACCGACCGAACTAAACACCGGAGATTCCTTGTTTGTTCTCCGCTGGTTTTCCCTCGAGAGGGACGCGAGAGGGGTCTGGTTTCCGGCCCCTCTTCACTCGCGCCGCGCATTCTTCGAGGAAGCGACCGTGTCTGCGAGCCTGCTACCTACCTCGAGTCGATATCGCGATTATCGCGCACCGCGTCTCGCGCGCGTTACCTAGACGGTTTGGAGCCAAAGGTTATCTACGCGAGTACGCGTGAATCGCTTCCGTTTTCTTCTCACCGCCGCCCGTGGCGCAAGGATGCCCGTGGTTCGCGGAGCGATTCGCGACGATCGGTCCCGCATCGACGACAGTTGTACAAACAAACGGACGGACGATCGGAAAACGGAGCTACTCGAGGCGACACGGCGGTGAAATCGTGCTTTCGTAATCGAGCAGCCGTAGTCGCGTGGCGGACTGTCCGCGGGACGGAGAGGGACTGGGAGAGGCGAGGCACGCTCGCGATACCCGAATTCTCAAACGCCAATGCCTCGACGAGGCAGACTCACGTTGTGCAGCTTGAAGTAGAGACCGCAGGCGTTGCAAACGGGCTCGCCGCTGTTGTTCCGCCGCCAGAGTGTCGTGTTGCTCGTCCTACAGTTCGCGCACTGTACACCAGTCCTTCGTACGCCCGTCTGAAACAGGAAACAAGAAGAATCGCCGGTTAAAGCTGACGGAGCACCGTCGCTTCACGGACTCGAAAACACGCGGCGAAATGGGAGCGTTCGAGGCGTAGAGGCTAGAGTAAACAACAACCGACCTAAGTCTCTGTTTGCTCGCCAACAGATAACGCCGATTCTTTTTTTTCTTTTCTTCTTCTTCTTTCCTTTTTTCCCTCTTTTTCTTTCATTTCTCGCGGACAACGTTTGCTGAAAGGAGGAGGTAACGCGAATCGAGGAGAATAATCTCCTAAATAATTACCGTGGCGACTGCTTGCTTCGGTTTGCCGCATCTCATCGACGGCCTGTTCACTCCGTTCATCTTGTTGTAGAGGCAACCGTGGCAGTAGTAATGCCCGGTTTCGTCCCTCCTCCAGATCGGGGTCGGTACGCCGCAAACGGAACATTCCTTCGGATCCGTGGACATCATCGTTGCGTCGAAGGTGTCGTCCGGACCGGAGAGCGGAATGCTAGCCCAGGGGGCCGCGGCCGTGGTAGTTCCGGCCGACACGCTGTACCCGCCGCCGGAATAGATGTGCAGGTTCGCCGCGTCTGCCACGGAGATCGCCGTCACGTTTGGATAGCCCTGCACGCAGTCGGCGAACGCAGGCGGCGACGGGGTTCCCGTCGCGGTCGACCAGTAGTCGCTCG